TACGTCACTGGACTCCCATGTAGTCGACCGCGGTTCGCATCCCAGACCCGGTGGCTTAAAACTCAGGCCAGGTGCATGTGCGTGCGTGCCCAAGATCCCGAGAGGTGAACGGAGGAGAAGGGATTGCGGCGTGGCCATCCCCCCTCGGGGGGGGGTGTGATATCTTGCTTTCTATCTCTCTGTCTCTCTCTCTCTCTGTCTGGCGAGCGCATGCGTCCTATAGCAAAAACCTCTCCAAAAAAAATAAATAAAAAGACAAAGGGGGAGACCAGTCGATGGCATCATGATTCCATCACTGGATCCTCATGTATTCAACTGCTGTTCGAGTCCCAGACCCGGCTGCTTGAAACTCACACTAGGCATGTGTGTGTGCATGCCCAAGATCCTAGCAGGAGAATGGAGGAATTGGGTGTGGCCATTTCCCCTGGGGAGTAATTTCTCACTTTCGATCTCTCTCTCTCTCTCCAGTGAGTGCATGAGCCCTATAGCAAAATTAACTCTCAAAAAAAAAAAAAGGGATTTTGCTTTGTGATTTTTTTAAACATGGCACGTATAAATGGTGGTAGGACAGGCCTAGCAAAGGGAAAAATAATCAGGGATGAAGGGCAGAGAGAGATAATGGATGGAAGGGAGCTCCTGAGGAGGGTGGAAGACGTATCCAGGGCCTGGGAGCATGACAGCAGAGCGTGCCCAAGGCTCCCGCGGTGATGGGCGTGCAGCAAGGTGGCTGTGGACAGAGGTGTTCTTAGACTCTTGGGGAGGAGAGCCGGAGAATGTCGATGGCGACTCCTTTGAAGTCTCTACTCAGATGCCAACTCATCAATGAAGCCTCTCTTCACCAGCTAGTAAAATATTGATTTGCCCTTCCCTGCCTCTTCTTTCTTTTCTCCATAACAATTTCACCACCAGACGTACTGAACATACAGAGTGAATTTGTTTGCTTATTGTCTGTTACTTTCGACTAGAATACAAGCCTCCCAAGGGCGAGGGTTCCGGCCTGTTGTGTGACACAGTAGAGCCATAGCCTGGCCCCCCGGCTCACCAAGGGGACTCAACGAGTGCTTGCTGAATGACTGGATGCATGGCTCGTGACTTCTGTTTTTCCTCCAGCAAACAGGAGGCAAGACTGTTTGCTCAAGGAGAACAGAGTGTGACAGTGGGGCAAGCTGAATCTCAAGAGGGTAGAAATACAATGGCAAGGGCCCAGAGGAAGTTGGAGACCATGAGCTAGCTTACAAATTGTGATCGTCTCCCAAGGTTCTTGGCAGCAGCCATGTGGAAGGGGAGAAGACACTGATCCAGAGTCAAAGCTTTTTCCGGGTCAGTACAGTGGTAAGAAAGAGGGTTGGAAAACTTGCGGAGAGTATAGTTGACGTGTTCAGCCATGGAGTTTTGCCTAGATAGAGAAAGAAATAGAAATAAGAGGAAACTGGTGGGTTGGGGAAGAGGAGAAGCAGCCCTTATGGTAATGAAATGGAGAATTCCGGTGTAGTGCTTTGCAATCATAATGAATGGAAACACGCAAGGTGTAGCCATGGGAGAAGGAGCAGGTGAGATAACTAGAAAGCAGATGCAGCTCGTCTCAGATGGGGAGGGCTCCTCCCCACCACACTTAGCAATTGTATCATAGAGAGGCCTGTATTTGGATTCCAGACTTTTTTTTAAACATGGCACGTATAAATGGTGGTAGGACAGGCCTAGCAAAGGGAAAAATAATCAGGGATGAAGGGCAGAGAGAGATAATGGATGGAAGGGAGCTCCTGAGGAGGGTGGAAGACGTATCCAGGGCCTGGGAGCATGACAGCAGAGCGTGCCCAAGGCTCCCGCGGTGATGGGCGTGCAGCAAGGTGGCTGTGGACAGAGGTGTTCTTAGACTCTTGGGGAGGAGAGCCGGAGAATGTCGATGGCGACTCCTTTGAAGTCTCTACTCAGATGCCAACTCATCAATGAAGCCTCTCTTCACCAGCTAGTAAAATATTGATTTGCCCTTCCCTGCCTCTTCTTTCTTTTCTCCATAACAATTTCACCACCAGACGTACTGAACATACAGAGTGAATTTGTTTGCTTATTGTCTGTTACTTTCGACTAGAATACAAGCCTCCCAAGGGCGAGGGTTCCGGCCTGTTGTGTGACACAGTAGAGCCATAGCCTGGCCCCCCGGCTCACCAAGGGGACTCAACGAGTGCTTGCTGAATGACTGGATGCATGGCCCGTGACTTCTGTTTTTCCTCCAGCAAACAGGAGGCAAGACTGTTTGCTCAAGGAGAACAGAGTGTGACAGTGGGGCAAGCTGAATCTCAAGAGGGTAGAAATACAATGGCAAGGGCCCAGAGGAAGTTGGAGACCATGAGCTAGCTTACAAATTGTGATCGTCTCCCAAGGTTCTTGGCAGCAGCCATGTGGAAGGGGAGAAGACACTGATCCAGAGTCAAAGCTTTTTCCGGGTCAGTACAGTGGTAAGAAAGAGGGTTGGAAAACTTGCGGAGAGTATAGTTGACGTGTTCAGCCATGGAGTTTTGCCTAGATAGAGAAAGAAATAGAAATAAGAGGAAACTGGTGGGTTGGGGAAGAGGAGAAGCAGCCCTTATGGTAATGAAATGGAGAATTCCGGTGTAGTGCTTTGCAATCATAATGAATGGAAACACGCAAGGTGTAGCCATGGGAGAAGGAGCAGGTGAGATAACTAGAAAGCAGATGCAGCTCGTCTCAGATGGGGAGGGCTCCTCCCCACCACACTTAGCAATTGTATCATAGAGAGGCCTGTATTTGGATTCCAGACTCAGCTTGAAGCCCAGCTGCAGTGGTACGGCAGTAACTGGAAACCCTGTGATGCTGGAAGCACATGGAGGCTCGAAATTCAGCTTCTGGGCTGACCTATTCACGCACGGCACACTTGGTCCTGGTTGGCTAAAAAAGTAAAGGAGAGGGTGGGAAGGAGTGTCGTGTGGTTTTTCTCTGTCTCCATCTCTGTCTTGCTGTCTCTCTGCATCTCTCTCATAAAATATATAAATAAACTTCAAAAAGAAATGAAAAGGTTGAATTTGGACTCTGAAACTTAGTAGTGTGTGATCTGGGGTGAATTATTCTCTCTAGGTCCCCGTTCTATCATTTAAAGCTAGGGACAATAATAACATCTTTCTCATGGAACATTTATGAGGATGGAAGGAGATGAGATATGCAAATGCAACTACTATATTTAAGAGAATAAATTGGATGGCATATGACACTGCATATTGCCTGGATAGCGAGAAAGTGTTCAATAAATATTGGTATTCTATTTTGTTGTTTGTTTGCTCATTTGGGTTTTTAATTTTTTTAGGCTAGAGGTTCGTTCACACGTGGGCTGCAGTTGTGGTGGGGTGCAGGGGAAATTAGACAAATTAGATTGATCTGGGGAATTTTTTTAATACCAAGCATAATTTCAATATTCCCTCCAAATAGATTTTTGCCCTACAAAGAATAACTGCAGGAGGCGATGGGGTGCCTTGGAGAGCTTTTATTTAGATGAATAATAGGTCTTGATTTGCATACACAGCTCTGGTGGTTTGTGGGAAACACACAGGTGGTGGGAGAAACTGAGGAGCGTGTGCAGAGAGGTTGGGTAACATAGCAGCCATGATGCTGGTCTCAGCAGGGCAGGAAGCTGGGAATAGGAATGTCTCATTGGACCTCTCGTCAGCTTCTCTGTGCCTAAAGGATCACATTATGAAATATGGCTTGGACTCTTAATAGTTTTGTTTGAAAACTTGACTCTTTCAGTTATCGAATGTGTGACCTGGACCATCGAAATCATTCAACTTCATTGTTCCCATATGCAAACAAGAGGGTATAAACTCACCTCAGTGGCTAGTGTGCAAACAAGAGGGTATAAACTCACCTCAGTGGTGAGTGTGAGAATAGAGAATAAACAAGATGGCGTACCCTGTTCCCGCTGGAGGTCCCATCGGGTGCTAAGTAAGCGCTCACCGAATGACATCAGTGGCTATCGCTGTTGATGTCATTACTCTTGGTCCCCATGGTCTCTGGGGAGGGGATAGCTCTGAGTTCTTTTCAACAGATAGAAGGTCACGACCTCAGTGAGAAAACAATGTTTGGCTGATACATTATTTAGGGGAGGAGCAAATTTCTGTCACGAGAGACCCTAAATTACAGTGGTTTAAACAAGGTAGCATTTATTTCTCTGTCACCTGATGGCCCAGATGGTAGTGGGACAGAAGAGCAGCTCGGTCGGCCTTGGCACACGGCCTCTGCACCGGGCCCACACCCCGGGCCACGGCTCTGACGCTCTCACCTCTGAGACACGTAGGGATTCTGCTGCTTGAAGAGCTTGAGCAACGGACTGGAGAAGGAAGGATTGCAGGGTGACCTTTGCAAGGAAATGCAGGTGGGAACATGGCAGGGACACATTCGTTGTAGGCATCCGGATGACTTGGGAAATTCTTGTCGAGGCCCGGCTCACCTCTCATCTGCTTTGGCCAAATTGGAATCAGATGTAGCCTGGTTCATGCAGGTGAATTCCAGAAGGCCTCAGAGCCCAGGATCCAGGACGATGATTACATGAGAGCTCTAGAGCTGGAGCCATGTGGTCCCCAGGTAGGAGCATCACCCCAGTGCGCCCAGGACTGCTTCCGTTTTATCAGGGAAATTTCTTGTTGCTAGTCATACTTGGTGAACCTATCTCCAGATTTCATTCGGAAAATCTCTTTCCCGTGACACTGCAACTGCTGCCGAGAGAGACAATCTTCTTCCCCAGTAACCAGGGCAGCGAGACACGCAGAGCTGCTACATGGGGCTGAGCCGCTGTGGTCAGGCTCTATGGAAAACCAGGGATCGAAGAAACACTCATCCACTTAGCAGTTCTGTTCTGACCATGTATCAAGTACTATCGGCTTGTTGGAAAAGTCATGACACATTCTTTAGCATAGGAAAACATAAAAAAGTCATGACTTCCCCGACAACCCAATATGTTAAACATGCAATGTACGAAGTGATTTCAAAGTGGCTGGAGCTGACTTGGGAAGAGACCTCTAAACTGATCGCAATTACATGTGGTCAGTGCTGTGAGGGGAGAACCCACGTCCCTAGAAATGGGGGCACTGTGCCCAGGAGAGGGGAGGAGGTTCTATAGGAAGAAGGTGGAAAGAAACAATCTCAAGCCAAGGGCCATCTGGCTGTGTACGGGATACTGGGGTGTATTCCTTGCTGCCAGACTGGCTTGCGGGGCTGTGTATGGGATACTGGGGTGTATTCCTCACTGCAGACTGGCTTGCGGGACTGTGTACGGGATACTGGGGGGTATTCCTTGCTGCCAGACTGACTAGCTGGAGTGCAGCCAGGGAGGGGACAAACTTCAGAGCTGACCTTGGAAAAGGAAACGGTGACCCTTCAGCATCTCCTGATCCCCCCCACCCCGCTCTCCTTGTCCACCTGCACCTGGACGGGGTGAGCTGATTCTTAGACCTGCATGTGGATCCTGCCAGGTTGCTGAGGAGCCAGGCGGCTCTGTCTGAAGATACCATCTTTAACCTGCGTGGTATCTGGGGAGCAGGTGGGTGAAGCCGGTCAGAGCTGAGATGTCCCCAGAGTCCTGACTCTGCGTTCTCAGTGTGCATGGCCAAAAAGTGTGTGAACGAATCACGGAAAGTGTGAGCTCTCAGAGTGCAGGGGGCACTCTTGGGCCTGCTCGCCGGAAGGGTTCAGTGCAGGCCCATCCCTCTCTCCTGCTCGCCCAGGCTGTGTCCCACTGTTCTAGAGCCTGGGGCAGTTACGAAGTGGGTGGCTTTTCCAATGAGTAATAGCTAAAGTATTGACTAAAAGAAGTTGTCAGTGAAATCACCTGTTGCCTTCATGGAGCCGCTCAGAATTCTCCTTCTTGCACTGCCATTCGCCAGAGCTTGCATTAAGTGAGCTTTTCCTCCTGGAATCGGTCCCAGGTAGACCCAGTCTCACACCAGTCTCTTCTGTCTCCACTGCGTCCCTGGCGGCATCCACAGGTTCTTGTGAGAGAACCATGGGTGATGCATTCCTTGGCTCTGGTTGGAAGAAGCCCTGGGAAGACGTCTCGTCTCTTTAGTCCCAGGGAAGCCCCTTCCACCAGCTGCCACCTCAGGCTCTTCACCAAAGGAGGAGCGAAGGAAGAGGGCTGGTCCTTGCCTCAGGTCAGCAGGGAGCTTCCTGCTGGCCTGCCTGCTGCAGCCACAGCCTTCGCCGGCTTCCCCCCTGTGGTGAATGGGATGAGGGGTGGGGGTGGGGCTATAGGAAGGAAAAGTAAAATAAATCACCACAGCAGGAGAGCAAGGGCCTCTGCACTTCAGGCAGTGCTCCTGGGGTATTGTGGAGACTGAGCCAGCTCTATTTTGCGAAGGCAGCACGTCTTCTGGGAGGATTTTTCTCTCCCTCTGGAGAAACTAAAGCCCACCTTTTCTGCCCCACTGCCCTGCATGGGGCAGGCCCCACTCCTCTGCCAATGGGGTGCCTCGGCAGTGATGAATACACCCCAATTACCCACACACATCCCAGCAGAGTTTGAGAGCAGGAGCGCTTGCGGAATGATGAAGAACACATCTGGAAGGCGTCCTGCAGTGAAGACTGGAGGCGTTCCCTCGCCAGCACTTATGAACAATTCATGGGGATTCTTGCTGCAGCCACTTCATTGAGCCAGATCCCTTGCAAAAGAGGCATGCATAATTGAAGGGCTAAAACAAACCTTGGGCCTGCAAGAGCCAGGGAACTGTCTGGAACATGCGTGCAGCTGTGTGGGAGCACCCTGGCAGCGTCTTCCGTGACCATGCCATTGCTTCACAGTTCGCACCTCGCATTTGGCACACTACGCAGGAGCAAGGACCTCCTTTCTAGGTGGATGCTGGACAATCGCCCCAGATGAACTGCGTAGAGAAGGAATGAACAGTGATGCGGGGGTGGGGGTGGGGCGAATTCAAAGCTAGAGTGCTGTTTTATCACGAGTCATGCAACGTTATAACTCACAACACCTACCTACTGGAACATGGTCAGTGCTTAGAAAAATAATAGAGGGTCGGTCTGTGGTGGTGTGGTTAAGGAGGCTGGATCCCACATGACAGACTGCATGGTTCGAGTCTCAAACCTGAAACTCTGAAAAACACGCCAGCTGCTTGAATGTTTGTGCCTAAAGTCCCAAAAGGAGAGGCGGAGGCAAAGGGATGGAAGTGTGGCCATCCCCCAGAGGGCGCTTTCTCACTTTCCCTCTCCCTGTGTCTCTTTCTGGTGAACATACATGCCCTCTAGCAAACTTAAAAATAAAAATTAAAATACTGGAATAGATTAAAAATTTTCAGGATGTACACACACACAGATACAGTAACACAGAACACAATGTATCCTAATATAAAATGAGAATTACAATAAAAATTTGAAGGCAATTGGTGTATATGTCTGTTAATTCCCTTTTAAGCATAAAATCCTACAATAATATGAAGCTTCTGCCTTGTGTTGAGCCCTGTGTGAGGCACTGTGGTCTACAAAAGGATTTTAAATGTGCCGTGGACTGGGGCCAGGGCCCAGGGGAGGGAATAAGCTGACCATTCAAGTTCCTCCCCTCTTCCTTCTTTCC